GCATTCTCGACCTGCTGGGCTCAGGTGATCCTTCCACCTCAGCCTTCCAAATAACTGAAACTACAAGCATACATTACCACCCCGGGCTTATTTTTTTATTTATTGTAGAGACGAAGTCTCACCAAGTTGCCCGTCCTGGTCTCAAACCCCTGAGCTCAGACAATCCTCTCGCCTTGGCCTCCCAAAGTGCTGGGATGACAGGCTTGTGCCACCGCACCTGGCTTATTTATTTCAGACAAGAGTTTTGCTCTGTTGCCGCCCATGCTGGGGTTTAGTGGCGTGATTGTGTCTCATTGCAGCCACCAGCTCCTGGGCTCATGTGACCCTCTGCTCAGCCACTCAGGCTATTGTTAGCTGGGACTACAGGCATGCGCCTCCATACCTGGCTAATTTTTAAATTTTTTTTTAATTTTTAAATTTTTTTTTTTATGGGGACAGAGTTTTCCTATGTTGCCCAGGCTAGTCCTGAATTCCTGGACTCAAACAGTCCTCACAGCTCAGCCTCCCAAAGTACTGGGATTACAGGGAGGAGCCACCACTCCCAAGCCTATTCTTTTTTTTTGAGTTGGAGTCTCATTCTGTCACCCAGACTGGAGTGCAGTGGCCGCTCCCAGCCACCGCAGCCTCGACCTGCTGGGCTCCGGCGATCCTTCCGCCTCAGCCTTCCAAGTAGCCGAAATTACAGGCATGCACTACCACGCCCAGCTGATTTTTTTTATTTATTGTAGAGATGAGGTCTCACTGCCCAGGCGGGTCTCGAACCCGCGGGCTCAGGCAATCCACTCACCTCAGCCTCCCAAAGGCGCGGGATTACAGGCTGAACCACCGAGTCCGGCTAGCCTATTCTTTTTATTTTATTTTTTTGTTTGTTTCGTTTTTTTTGAGTTGGAGTCTCACTCTGTCGCCCAGACTGGAGTGCAGTGGCCCAAGCTTAGCTTCCTAGGGGCTGTTCCTGGGTCAATAAATGTTGGTGACCACCCAATGATTGGTCAGATAGTGCTTAAACATTTTGAACCATGAAGGCTTTTCCACTTTGTTGAGTGAGTTGGGGAGCACATTCCAAGTTCAAACAGTTTATATGTCTGTCTGTCCTGGCTTTTTGTTTTTGTTTTTGAGTCGGAGTCTCACTCTGTTGCCCAGGCTGGAGTGTGGTGGCATGCTCACGGCCACCGCAGTCTCAACCTGCTGGGTTCAGGTGATCCCTCCGCCTCAGCCTTCCAAGTAGCTGGAACTATAAGCGTGTGCCAGCACACCCCAGTGATTTTTTGATTTATGGTAGAGATGAGATTTTGCCATGTTGCCTAGGCTGGTCTCTGGCCCAGGCAGTCCTCTCACCTCGGCCTCCCAAAGTGCTAGGATTATAGGTGTGAGGCACTGTCCGTGGCTGTCACCAGCTTTAACTCTGGGATTGTGCAAGGCCTCCTGTGTAACCAAGGAAGAGCAGACAGCTAAGGTTCTCTCTAGATTCTCCTGAACACGCTGCACATGTGCACAGCCTTCCAGAGCACCAGAGGTACCTGGGAACTCACTAAGGCCCACTGGGAGTATGTTTTCTGGCTCTCCTGTTACATTTCCGACAGGTGTGTTGCTTGTCCAGTATCCAAACTTCAGGTTAGCTACAATGTTGACCTTTCTGGTGATTTGCCATCGGGATCGCTGCTGTTTCCGACAGTGCCCCATGGCTTTTCTGTGCTCCAATTCCAAATGAAGTCAGCCTCTCCAGCAGCCAAACTGCCAGCCTCACGGCTCACAACCCCCCCGCCCCCACCTCAGAGCTGCACAGAACTTAAGGAGATGGGAGGGGGCATCCCCCAGCTAAAATGTCACTCCCATGATTCTTATCAAGATCCAGTTGTTTTTCTGGAATAAATACTTTGCAATTTGCTTTTGCCTTTGGTCAATTTCCAGAGTCCAGAAATGAATATGGTTTGGATTGGTTTTGAGTCAGCATCTCACTGTGTCGCCCAGGCTGGAGTGTAGTGGCATGATCACAGCTCACCGCAGCGTCCAACTCCTGGACTCAAG